CGCTTCTCGTTGCGTCACACCTCAACCCGCCTCAAAGCCAACGCTGATTGGACGTTCGTTTGGTGAACGGCTCCAAATTTCCTTCAACGGAGAGTCTCCAGACTGATTAGCGAGTGAAACCTTGAAAGCTCGCGAGATCAGGATGGTCTCACGAGGCTAATCATTATCTATATTTGCTATTATTTTACATTTAATCTGTGATCTAAAGCAGCCGAAAGTAGAAAACAATCATGGTCAGTCTGGAAGGAAAGCACTGCGTTCAAAGACTGAGTTCTGCCATTTAACAAGGAAACACAAAAAGTCTCAGCTTATTTTAATTCTTTATTAAAATCTGAGGGCAGAAGAGGACAAATGGAACATCTTAAAAAATTACTTTCGTAGAGATTTTAGACCAATAAAAAAGTTACTCTACTTGTAGAAACAAACAGTTGTTGATGACACAAAGTTAAAAGTAGTGTAGCTTAATGTGGCTAACTGACTGAGCTAACAGAGGCTAACCTGTTAGCTACTGAGCACAGCTAGCCACAGCGCTACCCAGCTCTTTATATCACGGTCTAACAGTTTTGTTATCAATCAGGTTAAACTTCATTGGCCATTAGACGCTAACGCTACAGATGCTACCGACACGGACGCTGCGTGATGTTATTATCGTTGTCTGGGCAACCAGCCAATCATGTAGCGTAACGTCACTGGCAGGAAGCAGGACCCGAGCAGATCTGGTAGCTACAGCGGCACTACAGCAAGAGTTTCTGCCATTAAGTACCAAACAGGAAGTACGCATAGAGTAGAGCGGATGTAGATTTGACCAATCAGAGGCCTCCTGTCTGCGATCACCTAAAATTTCGAAGAGGTGCAGCAGAGTGTCTGCGGAAGGGGCGGGGCATATCTGCGTTAAATGCGAGACACGCAGACGACCTGGTTTCTGAGCATAAATCAGCCTTTAGGGTCATTGGGCAGGAAGTTATCGCTCCCACCACCGGGTCAGCTGGGCTCTCTTCCTCTCACACCGCCCCCTGGTGGCAAACTAAGGTTTATATTTGTTTATATCTTCAAAACTGGAGCAACTTCTGATTAACTGAGGTCTACATCTTCTCCTTGAGTCAAACATGCTTCTACTTTAATGATCAACAGTTCTTTCTTTATATAAATAATTTGTTCCATTTGTTCAGCCTTTTGGTGCTTTATGATGCTTTATAAATAAAGTGATAAACAGACGGTTGGTTGAGAGAAGATTCTTCTGGAAGCATCAATAAGCTAAATCTGAATGTTTTCTCCCATGTAGAAAAAGTCAGAGTTTAGGTAAACTGGACCGGGTCACAGTGGAACCGGTCCAGTCAAACACTCACCACAAAGGAGTAGGTCTGGGTAGACAGAGTCCGGTACTCTGCGCTGCAGACGCCGATGCACAGCTCCACGGGTCCGCCGGGGGAGTGGGGGAGTAGCGCTTCCGCCATGTCGCAGACGATCCTGCAAACGATCCAGGACAGAGTCAGAACCGGTCCACCTGAACGAGTCCGATCACACAGGCTACACCGACCTCTCAGCGCTGATGTAGAGCGATGGGACCGGGTTACAGCGGACGCCGGCCACCTGGATGTGAGTGATCTCCTTCACCTGCAGACCCAAGTTCTCGCCCTCGATGGTCACCCGGGTCCCGCCCTCCCGCGGTCCGGTTAGCGGGTCGATCTGCAGGAGAGAGGAGGCGCCGATGACGAGCTGATCGTCTGAGCAGCAGGTCGGATCGACGGAACTAGGCCCTACCTTAGTGATGCGCGGATGGCTGCAGCGCACGTTGTGGCGGCCATGATGCATCCAGTTCTGCTCGGCGGACGGACAGTGCTGCCGCAGGAGGCACTTCCTGCTCTCCACACACCACCCGCATTCAAAGACAGAGGGCGCTTTGAGGCACTGACCGCAGCTGGAGCGCTGAGCTTCACACTTATAGAGCGACACTGAGAAGAAGCACAGGATGAGCGACCAGAATCAGAACCTTTTCTCTTTACTCTGCCATAAAAACTGAGGCGGAAGGTTTTTCAGGGTCACCTTTCATGTAGGCAGGTTTGTCGATGAGGAAGTCTCCGTCCCAGACGATGGAGAAGTCCACCTGCAGATCTCCGGCCTCGTCTCCATCATACGTATACTGCAGAAACACACAAACTGGCTTTAGGAAAATTTCCTGTTAATCAACAACCAACGAGTCGGACGGAAAACATCTGATGCGCTGAACGGAGATCCCGACATCTAAAACCGACGATTGGCTTCAATCCCAAGGCTCTAATTAATCAGCATCATTTATTCTGCATCGGTTCCTGAGACGGCGCCTAATGGGCTCCGTCTGCAGCTGCAGCTCATCCTCTCATCGTTATGAGAGTTATTCTAGTCCGTATTGATCTATAGAGCCGCTGTCATTCCATGGCAGAAAGACACAGGAGGAAATGTACTTGGCTGATGAGGTTTTGAAGGTTCTAGAAGCTGCATGAATCCAACCAAGGCCCTTTAACTTCCGGTTGGTGACCGTGAATGAGTCCAGCTGATGGGTCTAATGGAACCAACTGG